CAATGCCGGTGGTGTTGGCTCAGTTTCAGTACCCAGACTCGGGCCAGTACTGGCTAAGAGTTTACTTTCTCGTCGGTGTGATTGTGGCCCAGTGCCGGTGGTGTTGGCTTAGTTTCAGTACCCAGACTCAGGCCAGTACTGGCTAAGTGTTTCAATTCTTGTCGACGTGATTGTGGCCCAATGCCGGCAGTTTCGGCAGCCGGACTCGGGCCAGTGTATTTGGGCCGGTTCTGGGGCGTCATTCATCCCATGTCCATGCCGAGTCTGGCAACCGCAGCCAGGCCGAGTTATTTCTTCTGGCTTGCCGGATCTGGGCCATTATCGGGCCAAACCGTTTTGGCTAGCTGGGATGATAACTGTTCAGGGGAAGGAAGCGAAGATGAAACCATAGCAGATAGCCGGGAGGGTGAGAGTGAGCGTAGGTTACATCGAAAAGTGACATGTGGAGGGGTATGTGTTGTGTCAGGAACCATGTTGAGGTTAAGAGTGAGGAGGAAGTGATCCGAGGTGTGCAGTGGAGTAACCAGTACATGATCAGTGGAGCAGTGTCGTGTGTAAATAAGGTCCAGTTGGTTGCCTGATTTGTGAGTAGCCGTAGTTAACACTCGCTTGAGATCAAAAGAGGCAAGCAGAGTGTGGAAATCTGCAGCCTGAGTAGAAATAAAAGGAAGAATAAAAGAACACATGAATAAAAAGTGGCAGGAAATGTGGGACAAGGATTTAAAGGGCAGACACGTAGGCCTATACAATATCCAAAAAACAAGTTGCCAAAGGGAGAATATGCTTTAACAATAGAAAAGAAGACACAATTATTACTCGACTTCGAATAGGACATTCTGGTTTAAATCATTCATTATTCACAATAGGGAAACATCAGTCAGGATTATGTACTACATGCAGTGAAGCAGAGACTATTGAGCATGTACTTCTACACAGGGCCGGATTAACAATAGGGCTAGGTGGGGCTGAAGCCCCAGGGCCCGAGCAACGAGGGGGCCCGTGATTGGCTAATTGGAGTAGATTGACTGAAGCGCCAGTCGCCAAAGCCCCACCACGCCCCCACTTATTAGCCCTATTATTTAGTGGAGCTTTGCCGTAAATTCCATGTATTACTATTAGATATTGGTAAGTAAAAATTGATAAGTAAAAATGTCAGCTATTCTAAAAAAAATGTTAGAGAGGGGTTCAAAAAAAAAAGAGAAAAACGTAAAAGACAAACAGCAGATAAAACAGTCAGTAAAATCCCCAGCTATCAGGTTATTTTACTAAAGATGATGATGGAGTAGAAGTTGTGAAACAGCAAGTGGACCGGGCACATGGAGCAGATAAAAACAGCGCCATCGTCCACACAGATTTTAGGTTAGTTTGATTATTAACTTGATGGATGTATTTGGTTTTTTGTGTTTGACCAAACTCTATATATTCGCTTAAGGGTTGGGAAACAACCCGGTAGAAAAATGTCAATCGTTTTGCGCGTCATGATGTAAGCTTAAACGCGTTTTAAGCATTGTGGTTTAAAAACAAATGGTTTTAAACTATTCATGGACATTAAGCAGCGTGGCAGAATTCTTGTTGGTAAATGCGCGCGTTAAGACTGTTTCAGCCTGATAAGCGCGGCACGCACCTGCTGGTACAGCGCCTGACTAAACTTGAGGTCTTTTTCGCACCTTGTGCTTAAATGTTCAAATACACATAGTTATGTGTCAAAATGGAGTATCCTCATCAACACAGTATTTTAAAATATATAAAATTAGAAAGCAGTTATTTTAAATAGTAAAATATTTCACAATATTACGGCTTTTGCTGTATTTCGGATCAAATAAATGCAGGCTTGGTGAGCAGAAGAGACGCGAGTAGTACAGACACAGTGCAGCCTCATTCCCTTTCTCATAATAAAAGGTTTAAGGTTTATTTTTTAAGGTGTACTTTAAAGAATTTCCCACCTAATAAAGAGTAATTGTAACAAGCATACATTTTTTTAATACAAACAAGTTCGTTTTTGCAATAGCTATGCCACCAATCTGTTTAAGTTGAGTCATTTATGAAAACGGTTTCCTTTGTAGGTTGGAAAATGGAGATGTGTCTCAGAGAGACCATTTACTGGGAGAAGATCTCACCGGTCTGCCTGACCTGGCTGCTGCTGACCAACTGTTTAATGGCTCTACAGTTGCTTCAAGGTTCCTGCGGGCTGAGCTGGAACTGAACGCACGCTTGCGGACGCTGTCCTTTGGGAAACCAGTGCGATACACGTACAACCCGCTTGAGTACGCCTGGGACACACATCAATGCTATGTGGAGAAATACTGTCAGGAAGGGCAGAGCGTTCTCTTTCTAGGCATGAACCCAGGGCCTTTTGGCATGGCACAAACAGGGGTCAGAAGATTTTCTTTCTTTTTATGATTTCACAGTATTTTTGTTGTAATGATATTATTTGAGGATAAATTCAGTAAAGAACAGGGTTTCAGTGGGTCGTAATTCACCCTTCCACAAACCAAGGCATTAACAGTGTCTTGAATTAGACCAGAGTGTCTTAAATTCACTCATTCATAGCATTAAATGCTGCTTGCACAATAATAATAATAATATCTTCCTCAGTGTTTTTGTCTTGTTTTCCGAAACAAATGATCTAAACTTCCTTAAATCAGGATACATTTACTTCAGATGCAAAATGAAGATCTAAAGTCTTGTTGAATCGCATTAAATATCGCATGCGATTTATCGTGCAGCCCTAATCTAAAGTCTTGTTTAATTTAATAAATTTAACTGTGTTTATGCTTAAAACAAGTACAAGTATCTGTCAATGGTGTATGAAAACTTTATTTCCTTTTAAATTAAGTTGATTTTCTGAGCCCATTGGCAGATATTTATTCTCATTTTAATCATAAATTCACTTCAGTTACTCAAAAAACAAGGTAAGTAAAAGTACTTTAAATTAACCTTTGCACTGGATAACAAGACCAAAACACTGCAGTGTGATCAGAAGTTACAGTAATTTTTATTTAATTTTTAATTTTTAGAAGTTATTTCTATATTCTAGTGTTTGGAAGCAGAAGTATTTTAAGCAATGTTTTTTTACAGTGTTAACTGATTTTAAAAAAAATGTAATGGAGATCTGTAGGAAGTTTCATTTTTTTTGCACATTTGTTAAACGTTTAAGTCTTGCTAATATAACTCATTGTGTGATTTACATTTTGAGAACAGATTGACATTGTGTTCTTTCATTTTTCTTTTCTCGTACTCATGTAAAAAGCTCTTTTTAAGTCTTACATTTACCTTCATGAAACCTAAAAAAAACCCTGAAAGAGATGATGATAATGCCATAATTTCTGATGAACAAATTTATAGTTACATACACTTAAAGGGGAACATTTACCCCAAATCATTATTTGCTCATTATAAAGTCATTATTTGCTCACTTTTATGTTTTTCCAAGCTTATCTGTCTTTTTTTTTTTTCCAATTTCAATCCCAGTGTTATTCAAAATATGTTCTTTTGTGTTCCACAGGAAATGTTTGGTGTGACGTGCGTAAATGATGACATAATCTTTACATTTTAGATAAGCTATATGGGGTGCTGTGTGTTAATTAATGAGGAAAAAAAATTAACTTAAATGATTTTAGCAAATGGCTGCAATATAACAAAGAGTGAAAAATTTAAGGGGGTCTGAATACTTTCCGTACCCACTATACATTTTGAGAACAGATTGACATTGTGTTCTTTCATTTTTCTTTTCTCTTACTTAAAAAGCTCCTTTTAAGTCTTACATTTACTTTCATGAAGCCTGAAAAACCCTGAAAGAGATGATGATAATGCCATAATTTCTGATTAGCAAATTTATAGTTACATACACTTAAAGGGGAAAATTTACCCCAAATCTTTTGCCCTCGGTGCACTTGCGCATAGTTTTTCAGGGAGCTTTGCAAGAGGTCTCTTGAAGCATCTCGGAGACACAGTTCTTCTGGATTGAGTCTGTCTCGGTTTGTTCTGTTTCTTCATGTGACTCCAGACAGACTGATGATGATCAGATCTCTGTGTGGAGCACAAAAATCTCACTGCATTATTACAATTGACAAAATGAATGTTTGGAAATGTAAACTGATATTTCCTACTGACACACTACAGCAAAAGATAGAAGTAACTGACTTAAAACCATATTTAGCTGCTGAAAATACTAGTGTTCTAATCATTTTGGCCACCACTGTATATGCACAATTACTGGCACGCTTAAAAAGGTGCATAAAGGTGCTTAATAAGCATACAAGTATTTATTTTAAATTATGGCTTATTTAATTAAGTAATCTAGGTTTGAATCTCAAGCTTGATTCTTCTATCTTAAACCAAATGTTGCCATGTTGAAAATGTTTAAAGTCGCAGACAGACAATCACTCCTGATTAGTGTTTTTGGTAAGTTGCGTTCTACAGCAACATCTGAGAAAAAATTCCTAGCATGTTGATTGTGAATTGTATAAAAGCATATAAAAAAGCACACGAGTCACTTACTATTAGCAGCATCCGCATTTGTGAGTTCTACCAAAAATGACCAGTTTCTGTAGTTGTCACTTGTTAAAGATTCTTGCACTGTTCATATGAGATTCCATAATTTCTTATGGTTTAAATAAAGTGATGGATAATGCAGAAGAACATTTAAAAAAAAGAAACAAAAAATCTTACTTCCTCATTAACCAGGTACCGTTTGGCGAGGTGAAGGCAGTTCGCAGTTGGCTGAAGATCACTGGAGCGGTCGGCCGTCCAGCAGAGGAACATCCTAAGCGACGGATCACAGGCCTCGACTGCACTCAGAGTGAAGTGAGCGGAGCCCGTTTCTGGGGCTTTTTCCAAGAGCTCTGCGGTGAAACTCACAACTTCTTCCGCCACTGTTTTGTGCACAACTTGTGCCCTCTCATCTTCATGAGTGAGTCTGGCAAGAACCTGACTCCACCTGAGCTCCCCGCCGCGGAGCGTGATGCCCTTTTGTCCTGCTGTGACAGTGCTCTCTGTCAGGTGGTCACTGCACTGGGGGTCTCCATGGTGATCGGAGTGGGCAAGCTAGCTGAGCAACGCGCTCGACGGGCTCTTGCAGAAGCAGGCATCACTGTGAGAGTGGAGGGTATCATGCATCCGTCCCCTAGAAACCCACTGGCTAATAAAGGATGGGCTAACATAGTCAGAGACAAACTAGATAATCTGGGGGTGTTAAGTTTGCTTACCAGTTGATGATGAGGATGACAGCTACTACCTCTGCATTTTAAAATTCACTCATTAATTCTTTTGAACCTTACTGTTGACATTATCAGTGGCTTAATGAGACATTTGTGGAAGTAAAACATCATGTTTAAGATAACAGAAGTTATGACCATTAATGGAGTACTTTATCACACATTTATTATTTTTAAATTTGTTTTTATGTGTATTATTTATCTGTGTGTGTGTGTATATACACACAAAACGTTTGATGGCCATTTTAAGCTCTTTTGTATGTTAATATGTAAAGGTACATGCATGTGTTTTTTTTTTAACCATATATGTTTTTTATATATACATTTAGATGTTTGTCTGTATTTTTTAGATTACATTTGTGTAGCTAAGAAAAAAAAAAAACTACTGTAGATATTACTTTATGTTAGTCTTTGATTATAACACACTAAGTTTATTATACCTTGAATTCAATCTCATTTTTGCCCTTGAGTGGCGTGTCATTTTTTATTCTGTGTTTAACCCAAATGTTGAGTCGAATGTATAGGTGATGGCAATAAATTGTATCTCATGTTCAGCACCATCCTTTAATTTTGTGTTTATCCGTTAACCAAAGTGTTTTGTATTTCAAAAGAAAACAAATGTTCAACAAATCTAATGTTTCTTTCTAAGCTTCTTTCTTTTTTGGCATGAGAAATATTTCCTTGGACCCGTTAATGAATGTTGTTTTCTGTTTTAAACAGAATCACAGTTCTATTAATGGAGTATTTCATTATTTTACTTGAGTACCCTAATATTTTTAAAATACATTTAGTTCATACTAAGTATACTTAATATCCATTAACATATTTACTGACATATCACTCAAGACTTACTTAAAAATTATAATTAAACTTTATTTGGAGTACTACTTGTGCACAATGCAGATTTCATAATATTAAGCATAAAATGTGATTTAATGTCACTGTTGATGATAATTATATGATCTTTGAATAATATCAGTCTTTAAATGTACACCCCTTCTGCCCCTTGGCTGTCTCATGTTCTCCGCGAACATCGTTCTAAGCTCAGGACTGCTAAAAGGGTGTGGCGCAAATCAAAAAATCCTACTGACCTTAATGTGTATCAGTCACTCCTCTCTTCCTTTTCTGCTAATGTCTCCACTGCTAAAAGGACATACTATCATTAAATTCATTACTTCAGAGTTATGTGCCCTCCAGAAGCTTGCGTTCCTGCAAGTGAATGGTGCTTTATTGTGCCATCCCAAAGAGGCACACAATCACTTTCACAGACTTTTAAATTAACTGTTCCCTCCTGGTGGAAAGACCTGCCCAACTCAATCTGAGCAGCTGAGTCCTTAGCCATCTCCAAGAATCGGCTAAAAACACATCTGTTCAATCTTTATTTGACCCTCTAACTCTAGCACTCTATTCTAATTCTATTCTTTAAAAAAAAAACTTGTCCCTTTTAGACTTGCACTTTATTCATTTACTGCTTGTTTTCTTTAAAAAAAAACTTAACACTATAGCTTTTCTAATCTTTTTGTATTCTATCTATTTGTTTCCTTTTTATTTATTATACAATTAACAAATGCAAAAAAGGCCTCTAACAATAGCTGTTTTCTTTTTATTTATTATATAATAAAAAAAACCTTGCTGCGTGTACTGCGCTAAGCTAACTGAGACTTGTTATAGCACTTGCATATCATTGCTCTTTTGTTGATTTTGATTGCTTCCATTGTCCTCATTTGTAAGTCACTTTGGATAAAAACGTCTAAGTGACTAAATGTAAATGCAAGATATTTAAAGTGTACCTGAAGTTTACTTGCAATAGTTCCTCTAGCACAATCAGATATACTTCAGTTCATCTTTAGTTGGACTTCAGCACTACTTCCTCACAATTAAAGTGGATTAAGTACAAAATTAATTGTTCCAGTTTAGCAGACTTTTAGTATACCAGTTTAGTATACCAAAAGTACAATTGCAGTGTATTTTTATTAAGTCCATAAATATGTAAATGTATTTGTAGTATACTTAGAATGAAATAAATGTATTTCAAATACATTTTAGTGTATTTATTTTTCACTAGGGTAGAGTGTAATAATTTTTTAATTACGGCAACATATAGATCATTTGAAAACTAATTTACAAAGCTAGCCATTTGTTATTTTAATATTTAAATCTATATTAATTGAAGGAAGTATTTGGGTATCTGAACTGAATCTCCCTCATGATACCTGTATAAACCTCTATGAGTGGACTTCACACATTTTCAGAGAACCCAACTCTTGTCATCCACTCTTTGTATATAAACACCTCCTATGTCCTGCTCTTTCTGCCAATGGGTCAAATGCACACAAATACACATTGTCTTCCTAATAATGATGGTCTTTCTCTATGTTGTATTATGAATTAACTCAGTAAGTCTTGCCAGTGGCATTTATTTTGTGGAGTAGAGACCCCAGCAGCAGCCATTTCACTTCATTTCACTCCCCTCAGAGAGCATAAGGTCTGCAATGTTCTCTATATTTGAGTTCATCTCAATGAACTGCCTTTTGAGTTTTGAGACAATGGGGTTTAGGTGTTACTAACATTTAACTCAGTAAGTCTTGCCAGTGGCATTTATTTTGTGGAGTAGAGACCCCAGCAGCAGCCATTTCACTTCATTTCACTCCCCTCAGAGAGCATAAGGTCTGCAATGTTCTCTATACCTGCATAAATCCCACATTTGAGTTCATCTCAATGAACTGCCTTTTGAGTTTTGAGACAATGGGGTTTAGGTGTTACTAACACACTAACATTGATGCTTGCCTTAGCAAACACTAGTAGCTAATATTCATCTTCAGTGCTGTATTGTTATGTATTGATTATGTCTGCTACACAGATACCGTATAAGAACACTTTAGGTGGTCTTGACAAAGTGACCTCCTTGTGACCCCCCATGGCAACAAGTGGAGACACTGAGCATGAACATTAGTCCCTGTTTAATGGCTGATGCTTGCCAGAGACATCAATACAATGACAAATGAGGGCTTGGGTTATTAAAACAGAATTAGACCGGAGGGAGAGGGAAAAAGAGTGACAAATGAAGAGGTGTAGAGATCCACTAGAAAGTTGAGGATGAAGAAGAAAGGAATGCACAGAATAGGATTTTCATTCATTTTATTTATTGGTTTATTTGAATAATGATAGTACAAAAAACATGATTCTAGCAAAAAGCTGAAAAATATGCATCGCACATAGTATAGACATAGAGTATAGACACGGCACATAGTATAGACACGGACGCCGAGCCGCTCGCTTTCCCTGCCATGGCCATGGATGTTGTGTTCTTTTCTTCAGTTTTCAGTAAAAAGTTCCGTATATCTTCTTTGTTCTGTGTCTTGTGTGTCTTCTTGAATTTACAATACACAGCTAGCTGTGACACCTATTACTGATGACACACTGAACAGATAATAGTACAAACTTATTTTCTAATGGGCCAACTATAGTGTTTTTCTGTAACATCTTTAATTCAGCAACATGGCTGATTTGAAACATGTATCTTGCATGGTTAGTGGTTGAATTAACTTATTGTTAAAGGTACTAAATTGAAAGAAGATCATTCTATTGTGTTTTGGTGATTAAAACAAAATGTTCTATATATATGTGACCCTGGACCACAAAAGCAGTCATAAGGGTCAATTTTTCGAAATTGAGATTTATACATCATCTGAAAGCCGAATAAATACGCTTTCCATTGATGTATTATATATTTCAAAGATCTTATGTCTTGAAACAATTTAAATGAATAAATAATAAACCTGTAATCAGTGAATCATTTGGTGCATTTGTAGATTTCTATAATATATTTTATTGATGCTATATAACTGTGATTTCTGAAACACATAACCAAATATAATTAATTCTTGTTACAGTACACTCTCAGAAGAAAAAGTTCCAAAAGCTGTCACTGTTTACAACATGTTTTACAGGCAATGGCTAATCAGAGGCGTTTAAGTTAGAATCCACTCACCGCTCAAAAGGTTTTTGTTGTCCAGTATAGCCTACATGTTTGCGAATACATTTATTATAACAAAGCATAGACACGATGTAAATAAGAGATTCATTGTGTGATAGAAATATGACAAAATGCCCACCTTGGTGAGTATAGCCACATAAATGCAATCACTGTAAGTATATGTGCGCAGGGCTGGCCGTGATATTTTGTGATCAATACTTAAATAAAGCAAAACACCTACAGTACCAATGGTTAAGAAAATTACAATAGAAAATAATATATTATTAATAATAATAATAATAGGGGCTGGCAAGCTTTAGTCCAGATTAAAATGAAAAAAAAAAATATATATATAGACATATTTATTTATTTATTTATTTAGTCATTTAGCAGACGCTTTTATCCAAAGCGACTTACAAATGAGGAAAAAAAAAAAAGTTTAGTTTTTCCCCCTGCTGTACCGAAATCATATCGAACCGTGACGTTAAAACCGAGGTACGTACCGAACTGTCATATTTGTGTACCGTTACACCCCTAATATATACACATACATATATATACTGTACACACACACACACATACACACACACATATACACACACACGCACAAAGAAAAACAAGTAGATAGAATAGAAAAAATAGAAAGCTAGTGTTTGTTTGTTTTTTGTTGGGTTTTTAAAAAAAATAAAATAAAAAAAATAAAAAGAGGATAAATATAGATAAAGTAGAATTAAAATAGAATAGAAAGTGCTAGAGTTAGAGGGTCAAATATACATATATATAAGTGAATATTTGAAAAGTATTTAAGTATTTTGAGTTATTTGATAAATTCCAACATGAATACAAAAATCATAAATCTCTGAAAACATGTAAATACTGTTTGACGTCCTTTCTTCTCTGTAACATGCAGCTGTCAGAAAGTTGCGCTTGTGCAGCACTGCTTTGTTTACAGGGGTAACCATGGTAACCGCTGTATTTCTGCTGTTCCATAGACCAGAACGTGAATTTGCATTGTTATTCAGCCTGTCTGCTGCTTTTGGTCAGGTCAGTGCGAATGGCCATTCACGCAAATGGCAAAATAAACCCATAAGGTACGATCTTTTCGACATCTTTTCGAAATTCATCACTTACTGTTATCTTCTTCAGTTTCTTGCTTATTTCTCCTCTTCTCGCACCAGCATCGCCTTTTCATTTTCACACGTTAACTCACACAACTGACACAAGCAAAGCTATTATTACTATCTGAATCCCTGGCATCTGGATATATATAGATAGGGGTCTGAATTGGGCACAACACCGGCACTGACTGTGCATTGTTCTCGACTCACTCATACACAAACACAAAACTCCGAAGAGGATTTTGAATCTAACAAGTGTCTGTGAACTTGTGACCACAGTTTCACCCCTGTGTAGGTGACCTTAAAATGCGTGATGGATTGTAGCGTGAAAAATCATTACCTGATATCAATTATATTACCCGGTCCGGAGTGATTTCCGGTTCGCAAACACATCATTTTGAACCGGTTCTTTTTTGGTGATCTAGTTGAAGGATTCGGACTGCCGCCTGAAACAGTTCGCAGCTCAAGCAGCACAGAAGTTACTTAATCAAAACTCATTTTAGGACATCTGACAGTCACTCTGACTCAAAATGACAAAGTGCCCCTTGCAAATAATTCGTCCTTTAAACAGAAGGAGAGTGCCAGGT